ACATTTTGAGCTGTATTCCACAGGCAGGAACCTGGGAGAAGATGGGAACACCAGAGCACTTCCAACCCCATGCAAGAGATCTGGACAAGGAGATGGGGAAATCATGTGGCTTTGGGTTTCTTCTCTCCCTCTGACTGATTTTTACAGTTTTTTAATATAAACACTGCTTGGCTGCCTTGGCTTCTGCAGGGAGGACCTTTCCTGCCTCCACGGGGAGGCTTGGCACAGACACAGGGTAAGGCAGCATCCTCACAGGAGCTGTGGAGCAGCTGCACCTTCTCTCCAGTTCCTGGATGTCCCTTCTGGTTTAAATCTCCAGCTTGAATCCCCAGTGAGCAATGTGGCACATTACAAAAATGGTAAGAAAACACCTGAGTGGTGAACCCCATGAAGTAAAGTCTCTTTTAGGTCATGAGAAGCCAGCAGGAACCCCAGCTCCGACCCTGGGCAGCAGCAGCAGCATGAAACCACCAACACTCAATGCAAGTGGCTTGGGAGCCCCAAATTTCAGGGGACCATGTCCTGTTCCTGTATTTTCCAACTTGTTGCATGAGTGAAGGGAAGGGTAACCCAGCCAAAGCCCTGCTGAGCAGCACTGAGCAATGTAGCTGATCATTAAACTTTCTTTTCAGTCCAGACTTTTGCCTTGGGAATTTTAACAGAAGCTGCCTGAACCAAAAACACTTTTCCTTTTTATTCCACCTTTAAGCTGCGGAAAGCTGTACAATGGAAAATAGACATCCTGCCTGGGGCTTCCTGGTAAACACTGGGATGTTAAAACTTCTTACCTCAGGCTGCCTTCTCCCCCCTTTGCAATCCACAGAAGGAAAGAGAATTCAAGGAAGAACAGTTAAAAGGTTTGTTACACTCCTGTAAACAGCAGATGATTGTCAGGGCTTGACATCAGCAGTTTTTGCAAGGGGATCCACATGAGATGCAGGGGCTGAAGATAGAGACAAGAAGGACTCAGAGGGCTCAGAAATTGCTGCTGAAGGTGTTTTCAGAAGACTCTGGGAATTTTTGACCAGTTCACATGGATAGAGATGGGGGAGGCACCAAAGCAGCAGAATGCTGCCAGGGGACTGGGCAAAGCAGCTCCAGAAAGGGACAGAGCTGCAAAGTGCCATTACAGAATTTCTGCCAAAGTGACTGCTCCAGCAGAGCTCTGAGGGAAAAGAGTGAGGAAAATACCAAAGCAAACCAGCTAAACAAACAAAAAAACCTAAAAATCCCCACAAACAAACAAGAAAAACCCACCAAAAATAACAAACGACCAGGCAGAGAAGGAGAGTCCTGCATTTCTGCAGGCACAGTAAGACAGATATTTGGAATGGCCAAGAGAAGCCCTGCCATTTCCCATTCCCTTGCTGGATTTCTGAGTCCAAGCACTCTTTCCTAAAGGATGTCCTGATTCCTGGAGCAATGCAATGGTTTGAGTCCATTGCTTGCTCTCATGAAGGAGCTCTTCCTACTCAAACATTGTCTTTAAAAACAGGACAGGGCATTTCTTTAGATACATTTCACATTATACTCATACACAAACATTTCCATTTGAATCCTGGACTACCTCTAATCTACATTACAAAAAAAATTCAGATGAAGCCAGGATCTCACACGTTCATCAAATCCTCGGAGAGATGACAGATATCTCTGAGATATCCCCCACTCTGCACGGCCAGGGAACACGCTTCAATCCACAAACCCCGGACACAGAAGGGCATTTTCTGAGGAACAAAGTATTTTTACCTTGCCCCAGCCACACCCCTGTGTGATCCTGGCTGTAGTAAAGCTCCACTTGCACTGGGAATTTTCTCCCAGGATGAATTTGCTAAAATGCAGCCGCTGTTTTGCACTTTTCTGAAAGGGCAGGAATCTGATTCCGTGTGGCTCAGCAATGGCCAAGGGGCTCACAGTAATTTATGCAGGAGTTCTCAGCTGCTTCTAATGGCCTGTCAGATGGTGAAAGGGGGTACAAAGCAGATCATCCAAACAACTCCTGAGAATGACAGGGAATATGAAAAGCAAGAGCTGGAGTGGCTTCTGGAAAAGCAATAAAAGTGCACTTTTATCCAGGGATTCCTCTAGATCAGATTCCTTGACTGCACCAGAAGTCGATAAAATGTTCTCCAAGACTCACCCAGCTCTGAAGATGTGAACACTCACATCCATGAGGCTCCACCCTCACCCAAGGCTCCTGAGCAGTTCATGTGCTCCGATATTTACTGGATGTGTGGATTTTATCCTGCATTTCTCCTTCAAAAGCTCCAGGAGAAAATTATTTTGCACTTCAACTGCAGAAAGCAATTAAATGCTCATTCTGTTACAGCACCAAAAGTCATGAGTGGGTTTCAAAAGTCAAGAAAAGAAAGAGTTATACTAATTTTTAAAAATACAGATTAGTTCAACTTATTATATTAACCAGTAATGCCGTTGGTAGATAAAATTCTAGGATGTGTGAGAGCAGCTATAAATATATTAAATTAAGGCAGATAAATGCTCTATTAGAAACATAAGTGGTGTTTCCCTGACATTGTGTCCTAAAGTCTCTTGTTTCCATATTATTATTTGTTAATAATTACTATTAATAATAATTATTGTTATCCTTTAATCCTCCAAAGCAAGACTGTCACTTCTAGGGGGTGGCAACTTTTCAAGTTACTCCAAGCAAGAAGTTGAAGAGTTCAGAATATTGGCAGTGATAATTGAACAAATCAGTCTGGAAAGAACAGTCCTGTTAAGTTATTTTCAAAATGAAAATGCATTTCATTTGGAAAAACAAAAGAAAAAATTAGAATTTAAAAGAGGAAGCAAGACCAAGAATAGAGAACAACATGTGCCAGCTCTTCATTCTGACACCTGGTTGTACTTTCAGAAGAAAGTATTTTTTCAAGGGGAAAAAAACAACATAAAAGTTGCAAATAAGCATATATTTCAATGAAATTTTCATTCTGGGGAGAGTCAGGAAAGAAAAATACTGAAGACAAACCCATTAAAATCAAGTTCAAGTGCCTTGGTGTAGTCCCCACTTCACCAAGGCAAAATCAAACTTAATATGTCCATTTTCCAGTGTTTAGGACTTTTTAAAAAGGTCTTCTACCAATAAATAAAAGGTATAAAATAAATTGGTATATAAATATATAAATACCAATAAATTAAAGGTATCCTCAGCAGCAATTTATGATATACTAATTTTAAAATTAAAGGGAATTATTTATACAACTGCTCAAAGAAAGATTTCCAGAAAACATGTGGAAGACCTTTACAATGTGTTCCAAAAATTGGGTTACAAGACAGTCACTAATTTTATTTTTCTTCTTGTGTAAACTGGGGCAAAACCTTTCAGGAAAACAATTCTTAAAGCAGGGAAAGCAGTGACAATTGAATAAAATGTTGTGCTGTGGGAAAACACAAAGACATTTTCCCAGACTGTGCTGCTGAGCTTTCCAGACTCCCTCAGAATCTCAGCTGGCTCCCATCTTCCCTTGGGAAAAGAAACATTTCAAATGCAGGATCAAAATAATAAGAATAACAATTTGAAAAAGAAAGAAACAAGCCCCCACTGCCTGATGACACATCTCCCCTCTTTCTAAAACCTGAAGAAATCATGCTGTCAAAATTTCTTTCCAATAAAATAAAATAAAATAAAAATAATATAGAATAGAATAGAAAAATAATATAGAATAAAATAAAAATAAAATAAAATAATAATATAAAATAAAATAATAATATAAAATAAAAAAATAAAATAAAATAAAATAAAATAATTAATTTAAGCAATCTGTACATTTAGTCTAAGCTAAATCTTAATTTTTTAAAGAATCTCTCATGGTTTATAGTGTCCCCAAGGTATCCCACCAGTTACATAAGGTAATTCCAATAAATACATTTTCTTAATACAAAAAATACATTTTCTTTAGTTAAAAAAAAATAAATTAACTCCTTTATCTTTTCATGCCTAAATCGAGCACCTGCTGAATCAAATTCAACATATTCAAAGCTGACATATTCAAAACTCAGAGAGAAAGCAATGAAAGGTTCCCAGTTATTTAGAGAGGAATTAAAGAACCCCAGGCACGACCCAGGAGCTGTGCACGGCTACGTGCTGCCTGTGCCACTGAATGGGAAGGGAAGGAGGAAGGGGCTGCAAGGAAAGCAGCCAAAAGAAACTGCAGCAAATGTAAAAAGCGTTTCAGGGCTATATTTAGAGGAAGACATTCTTCCTACATTTGCCAAGCTGCTCACGTCATTTCACACAGCATGTTTGATCCAGCTTTAGAAGTCTAGGAGGGAGCAGGAGAGGGGGGAGGGAAAAATCTGGATCAGCTGCCAGAAATGGAAATCTTGCATTTATGGAGAGGAACAAATATTTTAAGCATGTGAATTCAAGAGTGCTTTCCAAAGAGGGGGGAGGAAAGGGGAGAAAGGAGGGGGGCAGGCAGGGTGGTAAAACTTCCTGCTGCCAGAAAGGCTCTGCAGAATATGGAGAATATTTATCAGTAACAGGACTCTGCTCCAATATTCCCTTTGGAGCCAGGCTCACGAGCCTGAGCTACACCACTAAAAATACTGAAATGTGTGAATCTCACTGAGTTCAAGCCTTCATCTGGTGTAAACTGGAGACTTGTCTGCGTTCCTGCAATGGGATCCAGCAGTTACATAAGCAATCACATCTTTCTCATCCATAATACGTGATAAACAACCACAAAGGATGAATCAAACACACTCCAAATGCAGGCTCAAAGGTGAAAACTGTATCAAAACCACTCCAGCTTCACAAGAACGCTATGATTTTCCTTTAACTCACGTCATGAGGTTCAGCATTTGCATAAAGAAACGTCAAGATGAAAAGAAAAATATGTCAGGACCAGATGTAATGGGATCAGGAACAAACCCCGTGGAAATTTCCTGTTAGTGACCTTCTGGAGGGTGGTGATGGAATTGATTTGAGATTTAGGACACGCTTTGCTCAAACTGAGATGACTTCTGTGAAAAGTTTTTACCTTCATTCCCTTCTCCAGGTGGCTGATAAAACGAAAGCCCCAAAGATATGATGGCTGCAATTTCCAAGATTATAAGAGTCACGTCCTGCAACGCTTCCCAAACTAGCTGTATGAATGTTTTTGGCTTCTTTGGAGGTATAAAATTTTTTCCAAAAATAAGCTTTCTTTTTTCTAGGTCTGCAGCAGTGCCGGCTAATCCTGTAAAGAAAATAAAATAAAATAAAATCAGGTCAAATTGCTGTGAAATAGAAAATGCACTCCTATAAATTACTTCTCCAAGAAAAATTCCAAGCTGTAGCACCTATGGCATATTAACAAACAAATATTACACTTAAACTGTGCTTTCACAAGAGGATTTGTCCTGATATTCTGAACAGAATTCTCATGAGCTCCATCTACCACTAATTTCTGCCAGGTTTAATCATTAAAAAGTCTTTGAATTCAGAGGTTTATATTAATAAGACCTGTGTGTGTACATATATACAAGAAATGACTTCTGCAAATAGACCTTAAAGCACAAAGATATTATTTTTGGGATGAAGCTGATGGAAGGTTTTGGTAATACCTGTAGCAGCTCACACAAAACTTTGTTGTGATCGCAAAGCATAAATTGATAAAGCCTCCCTTACTTCAAAGCAAGTTCTGGCTGCAAACGGACTTCAGCACATCCCTGGAATGAGCTGCATCACATTGTTGTCATGGGAAAAAGGCAAAGTGACAAGTTAAATATGCACAGAAAGGCGAAAGGAAACAATATGGCTCCATGTATTTTACATGATGCTTCAGCTTCAGAGCATTTCAGTTTAAGGATGCAGGATAACCATGGGTGGCTGTGCTGAACAATCCACTGGGGTGCTTTATTTCCCTCCTTTTTAATGATATTAAAGGCTGCACTTCTGGTGCCTTCCCAGATAAACAAAACAAAACAAACAAATAAATACTTGGAAGCGTCAGGGTAAAATAACTGAGCCCAAATATCCCTCTGAGCAGCATAAAAATCTGCAAGAAGCATTCTGTATTTCTGCCAAACAATACCTGATATCACAGAATTGGTTAGCTTGGAAAAGACCTCCAGGTTCATCAAGTCCAACTGCTCCCCCAGCACTCCCAATCCCACCACCAGCCTCTGTCCTCAAGTGCCACATCCACACATCTTTTAAATCCCTCCAGGGGTGGTGACTCCCCCACTTCCCTGCACAGCCTGTTCCAATGCCGGCCAACCCTTCCCATGGAGAAATGTTTCCAATATATCCAATTTACACCTCCCTTGGTGCACCTGGAGGCTGTTTCCTCTTGTCTTATTTAGAGAAGATCCCAGCCCAGCTGGAACATTCACAAAACTTTAGGTTTTGAACGTGATCAGCAATGTAATTTATGGTTAGTTATGGTTATTTATGGTTATTTATGGTTATTTATGGCTATTTATGGCTATCCATCCTTACATGACACCAGGAAAACAGCAGAGCTGACCCTGGAGGAACAGAAAGGTGTCTGTGAGGGAGGAAACCATCAACCCCACGCCGTGAGCATTCCTGGGCTCCAGAGGTTCGGGGCAAATCCCTGCCTGCCCCAGAGCATGTGGGACACCTGAGGAATGGGAAGCCCTGCAAACACCCCCTTCAAGCAGTGGGGAATGCCAAGGGTCCCCACGCCGTGCCCCATGGCCCCTCCTGGGTGGTTCCTCCATTTCCTGGGGACAAAAGCGATGCTTCCCTGCCCCACTGATCCAGGATCCTGACTCACCTTTCTCTTCAGGTGTCTCCTTACAGCTGCTGGCTCTTGGTTGACTCATCAAAGTTTCATTTCCCCTTCAGCTGGGGAGAAACCCGAGTCCCTCCCGCAGATCAGGGCGTGCTGTTATTGCCTCACCTCAATTCATTTGCAGGGCCTGGTGCTCAGTGGGGACAGACAGGTTCCAGCCAGCAGGAAGTGTCTGCACCATCCTCCAGGGCTCAAACTCCTCTGAGAGCTCCCAGGCAGCTTCCCAAGGCAGGGAAAAATCCTTTCCCCTGTGCCACAGGAATTGCTGCCTTTTTTTGTGACCCCACAGAGGTTTGGGCAATGCGGGTGAGGGATCAGGCAGCCACTGACAGGGCCCAGCACAAACCCAGCCAGGGCACTCTGGGCTGCCAAATGGAAGGATTTACACTAAATTCAGAGAATCACGGGATCATTAAGGCTGGAAAAGATCTCTAAGATCATTGAATCCAACTTTTAACCCAATGCTGCCAAGTCCAGCCAGGCACCACACCTGCATGTTTTTGAATGCTTCCAGGGACGGTGACTCCATCACTCCCCCGGGGAGCCTCCTCCAGTGCTTGACAACCCTTCCACGGAGAGATGTTTCCTAATATTCAATCTAAACCTTCTCTGGAACACCTCAAGGCCATTTCCTCTTGTGGACCTTGTTCCTTGGGAGCAGAGCCTGATCCCCCCTGGCTGCTCCCTCCTGGCAGGAGCTGTGCAGAGCCAGAAATTCCCCCCGAGCCTCCTTTGCTCCAGCCTGAGCCCCTTTCCAGCTCCTCCTCATGGGACCCACAATTTGCATCATTCCCCCAAAACTCAACCCACTCAACTTCACTCATGAAGGGGAAATTCCACGGGCACCTCTGACAGGGATTTGGGGCTGAAATTTTTACCTGATGCAGCTTCAAGAAGCAACACAAAACTCTGGATGGAAAAACTCGAAGAATGGAAGGAACAGAGGTCTGAAGAAGGCCTGTTTTCCAGCTCAGAACATTTGTGCTCAGTGGTGAGCCAGCTCCAGCAGCTCAGCACATGGCTGGAGCTCTCCAGCATGGCAGGGATGGCTGGGACAGCACAGGGAAAAGCTGCAGGGGGTTTCAATAATCCCAATCACATTTACGGGGCCGTGCTGAATTCCTGAGGTTGAAATGATGCCCTGTACCTCACTGCCAGGAGGGCACAGCTCCTGTCCTGTGGACATGATGTGTGTAAAGCACACCTGAGGAGCCTCCAAAGCCAAGGAGAGACTGGAACTCCAAGAGCTGCTTTTTCTCTAAGATAAAATTTGTCCATTTAGACCCCATCAGGCTGAGGACCAGGCTGTCTAAAGCATCCATGGTCATCCTTATTTTCCTTACTGTAGTCCACATAATGCTGCAATTCATACATCAGTCATCCAGACTCTTTCTTTTTAATATTATTTTCCTTAAGAATCACAAACAAGGGTAAATTATGCAGATGATTTTATTATTTTCTCTAAGTCTTGGTGAAATTACTCACCCACTCAGTCTCATCTAAAAACCAGAGTATATTCATCTTTAATAATGAAATTTATTTCCTTGTAAATCATTTAGAAATCCTGGGAAATGACATCCAGTGTTCAGTTCAAACCAAAAGGTTTCCCTTCACCCATGACCCAGCCATCACTTAGAATCCTGTCCACTGAAATTTTGGGGCTGGTTTTTTTTTAACTCCCACTGGATACCAGAAATGAACAAACCCTTCAAATGAGGGAGAGAAAGAGAAAGGAAAGGAGACAATGGAGAAAAGTGATGGAATCGGATTTTAAGAGTTCTGTAGAATAAGGTCAGAAAGGGCGAGCAGAGTGCAAGGAAATGACAAAGAAATGGGGCTGAGCCTCTGAGGCAAGGCAAGAGGGTTGCTCTGCAAAACTCCCAGAAATTCTCAGAACTCATAAGAAGGCACAAGAGGGGCCCTCCTCATCTTTCCCACATCAGCTGCTCTACTGGGAAAGGCTATTTTGGTTATCCCTAGGGGGGCTCTGAGCGAGGCTGGGCTTGGCCAGGCCGGAGGTGGCTCGTGGTGCCCAGATGGCACAGCCAGCAATGAGCACAGCGAGGGCAGCACGGGACATCTGCCCCACCAGCACCTGAGCCTGGAGATGCCTTTCCTGCTGCTCCACTTTGCATGGTGGAGCATTTATCATTATATTATTATTATATAAATATAAATATAAATATAAATATAAATATAAATAGAAATAGAAATAGAAATAGAAATAGAAATAGAAATATATAGAAACATAGAAACATAGAAATATAGAAACATAGAAATATAGAAATATAGAAATATAGAAATATAGAAATATAGAAATATAGAAATAAAAATAGAAATAGACATATAAATATAAATATATAGAAATATATAAATATATAAATATAAAAATATAGAAACATAGAAATATAGAAATATAGAAATATAGAAATATAGAAATATAGAAATATAGAAATATAGAAATATAGAAATATAGAAATAGAGAAATATAGAAATATAGAAATATAGAAATAGAAATAAAAATAAAAATAGAAATAGACATATAAATAGAAATAGAAATAGAAATAAAAATAGAAATAGACATATAAATATAAATAGAAATAGAAATAAAAATATAAATAGACATATAAATATAAATAGAAATAGGAATAAAAATATAAATAGACATATAAATATAAATATATAGAAATATATAAATATATAAATATAAAAATATAGAAATATAGAAATATAGAAATATAGAAACATAGAAATATAGAAATATAGAAATATAGAAATAGAAATAGACATATAAATAGAAATAGAAATAGAAATAGAAATAAAAATAGAAATAGACATATAAATATAAATATAAATATAAATATAAATATAAATATAAATATAAATATAAATATAAATATAAATATAAATATAAATATAAATATAAGTAAATCTATATAAATCTCTAAAAATATACATAAATCTCTATAAATATACATAAATCTCTATAAATATACATAAATATATAAAAATATGTAAAATATATAAATAAATAAAATTATATCTATTATATCATATGTATTATCATTATTTTATCATTATAAACACAATGACTTCATCTCCTGAATATCATTGTTTTATTTCTCCCCTGAGCCCTGTGACAACAGCGAAAGAGCATTGCAGATGAAGGCAATTTAAAACATCATTTCTATGTGAGGATATAAAACATCCAAGGACATGGAGAAGAACCAATGGGGACTGAAAAACATGAATGGAAATAGAAGCTCAGTAGGACTTTGGATTTCACGTTTCACCAGCACAAGCAGCAGCCTCCCATCTTCTGTTCCATGTGGCAAAAAGAGTCACAGACTGGCTGGGTTTAGGTTCATTTCTCCACACAAGCATGAATATTTTATTTAAGTGCTTTTCTAGGTCAAAGCTGTGCAGTACAACTTTGC